GTGTACCCCCACCTCTCGCCCAATGTGTGCTGGAGATTCACATGAAAATTCACATGAAATTCCAAGCAATTTTGTCAAAGTCTTACAGCGCCGTTCACACTGAACGCTATTATAAATATTCACGGTATAAAAAATAATGAAATTTATTAAAAAAGAAGTGGTATGCAAAGGTTTGGGCACCTCTTTGAAAACCACTGGTGCTGTGTTTGTGAAGCAGGAACTTCCTTTTTGCACCAGAGAAATATTTCAGAAATATGTTTTTTTTTTTACTGTGGCAGCAGAAATATTTTTATGTACATTCAATGGGGAAACAATTTAATTTTCAGCACTGTTTCAGCTTCTAATCGGAGGTGATGGTGGGAATGGCCAATCCACAACATCCTGGTTGAAAGCATGTCGAGCAACTTTTAATAAAATCACAGTGATCAGCGGATGTTTACATCTTGCACCTTTTTTCAGCGGATGTTAAAACACAAAGGGTAACTTCTTTTTTTCAAGACCTGGATAAACACAGCTGTAAGATGTTGGGAAATGGACTCACATTAATGGGATCCAGAACTTTCACGGCGGCCTGACTTCCATCTTTTTTATTGATCACTTTGTAGACCTTTCCATAGGTTCCTTTTCCAATGGTTTCCACAATGTCCCACTCAGACGACGGATCCGCCAGCGACTCGAGACCAATCATGCTTGACTTGTAGGGATACAGTCCATAGAACGATCTCCTGAAGAGAACGAGAACGTGAATCTGCTTTCATAGCTCCCTGAACCAAGAGCAGCTTCTAATCATCATTAGCCTGCTCTCATCAGATGCTCAAGAGTACAGCCGCCGAGAACTAAAAAATAAATACAACTTTGAAATCTGCTGGATCCGTGAGCTGCATTTATTACATAGAACACATAAATACAAACATTTAAATACAGGAAAAACAGATTTCTTCTCTGAAAGAGACTCAAAGTCTCACAGTGGCTCAATTGTTCCTGTTTTGTAGTTTTCATTTGGGTTTTACTCAAGCACAAGCTCTACACACAGCTATTGGTTGAAAAAGAAACCGGTTTTCCATTAGTACAGGTGTCAAACCTGGCAACCAAGGTACTCACATGTCAAACGAGACTTTCCTCATCCCTTCCACCATCCACAGATTTCATGAGAGCCAGTAAACATCACAGCCACAACTTAAAGTAAACGCAACAGAGCTTCCTGTCTCCGAGCTGTGCAGGAGAAACGCTAAGAAGTCCCAATCAGCTCACCGTGATTGGATTGAGCAGATTAACTCTTCTGTGTGAGAGGTGCTGCTCTCTCACTCATTACTTCTCATGCTAAACCATAACACAAGATCCAGAGCATGATGCGAACCATCACGTGTCTTTACTGGAGTTTGGTCAGCAACCGTCTTTTTGATCGAGATTTCAGAGAAGCTGTGTATGTGTGTGTGTGTGTGTGTGTGTGTGTGTGTGTGCGTGTGCGCGTGCGTGTGTGTGTGTGTGGGGGGGGGGTTGCCTGCTCACATTTAACATGGTTATCTCTTTAATTATGGGGTGTTAGACTTGACCCAAGTTTTTTTTGCAATGTTTTTTAATTCAAGCGAATAAATGATCCTCTTTTCTTTTCTAAATCTATCATTTTATACCAAAACATTTACAGAACGTTTTGAGATTCAGTCATAGCCCCACCTGATGCTCATGCAATTTTAAATAGGGAAATGATGGTATTCACATGGAAACTGAACCATTTAGAGCTGGAATGCTAATGGTCTGACTGGATTCAATGATCTATGCTAAGCTATGCTAACACTGCTATTCCCAGATCTCGGGGGAGATAGTGGTGTGCTCCTTTAAGTCCTACCCGCATCTACAGCATTACAGAAAACATATTTGCATTCACCTTCTCGATGTTTCTGGCTACAGAGTTTAATATTTGAGAGAGGCGGCTGTGATGAATCCTGACAGGCTCCAGAGGAACCGGTCGCGTAGAAGAGAGAAAGGTAAATGGCCTCCTGTCAGTGGAGCTCTGAACCTTTACACACTGCATTACAAACAGCAAGAGAGATTACCGAATGCATTCAGATGCTGCATGAGATGGATATTACACACATCTCATCTATTTTCTGGAAAGGTGGAGCATGCAGCAGAATTTTGACTAATGGTGTTTGTTTCGTTTGATGGTAATTTATTTGGCAGCGAGGCCATGCAGATATCAGGGGTTGAATAAACACTACTCTGTGTGTGTTTTTGAAATAATGGAGACAAAATGAGAATTATGGACTGCTGCAAACACCACCGCTGTCTTTATTCAGTTATCGAAGTAGTTTTAATGTAATAGAGGACATTAATTTAACTGGTTTTGCTCTGCACAGTTCAAATGTTAACTTTAGCCCTGTGCTCTGCTCCGGGTGCACAAAAATATGAAGAAAAGCTCCGGAATTTATTCTGGAAACCAATCCAAAGACCATTTCTTATGATTAACTGATGATATGCTTGGGGTTTTATATTCGAGTTACTTTGGTACGTCTTCTAAATGCTCTCTGATTGGCCAGGTATATTCAAGAGGCTTCTGCTTCAATCCACCACAGTCTGTCCAGAACGAGTGAAAACCTTCAGCGACAGACAGAGAACTATGATCGCTCTGAAAAAGCAGCACTGCCACAGTTCACAAACGTTTAACCCTTACTCTCGGTATTATTTACAATAATAATAATAATAAACACAATTTAAAGTTATTCAAGGATGTGAGGCTATCTTTGGCATTCGAGGAAGTCGTTTAGAGACCGGGAGCATCTTGTAGAGTAACGGAGCTCAATCAGTTTATAATTACAACAGAATCTGATCAGCTCTCAGCCTTAGAACTTTCACTCGCCTTACAAACACATTGAAAAAAGAGAAGCGACTACTCTACTTCTACATCTGTGGGTCTGGTGTATTTTTGCTATGGAGTTCAGGTGGGTTTGTTGAGAGCAGGGATAGCGATGGTTTCTGTGTTTCTACAGAATAACAAATAAAATGCTGTTAAAGTTTGTGGTCACAAATTCTAAATCAGCTCGACTACTTCACTGTATATCCTCACATCTAACCATCTTTCATCAAAGAGCACCAAAAACATGTACTTTATGAAGAAACACACCGTGCAGCAAAACCCCAAAAATCGGACTATTCAAAGCACACAAGGTGGATTTTGGACGGACTGTATTCATCACCATCACTCTTTACCCGTCACAATTACAACGATGCTTTTTTTGCATGAAACTGTTGGGTTGTGATAAAAAAACAGCATTAAAAGTAAACAAAATATAAACTTACCTGAGTTTGATCCCGCTTTTCCCCGACAGGTTGCTTGTATGAGGTTTTGTTAGCACTATGAGCGTAAATCCTTCTAATCAAGTTCACTGGATTATTCATGAGCTTGTAATGTGTAACTTGATCCAGCTTTAAATATTCATGAAACAGATGGAACTGCTCATAAAGAAGTATATCAAAAGACAGTACCTCGCAGAAACAATAACACAGCTCCTCATTACCTTGTGTTTGTCATGTGACTCAAAGTCCAATTTCTGCAAACACACCTTCACAGAATATGTGTAGAGTAGCTAATTAAGTAGCCATTGCCTTCCATAATGAGCTTTCCCCATGCGTCAGAGGTCAACAATGACCTTAAACAGAAACAGAACATTATCGTTGTTTGGAGATGCAGGCGTGGTGGTCCTGGAGAACTCTAGCCCTCCAGTCTAGGTTCAGCGCACCTGATATCTCCTCCTGTGTGTCCTGAAAAAAGGTTGGAACTCAAACCTTCCCAATGGCAATATCGGGAACAAGTTTAGCCATTGCCTGATGTAAGGATAGATGTGAGTGTATTCCATTATCTGATCTTAGCTTAGCTTCAGAAGAACAACCACAATGTTCACCAGGAAAAGAAACAGACGCCAGTGTATAGGTTGCCATTTATAACACAGGACCAGCCTATCCCAGGTGCTTCATTGCTCCAGGGAATTTGCCCTACCTACCGTGTTTGGAGATCAGAGGAAGGCTGTGATCTTCTCGGCATCTTGTGGATGTTTCTTTGGGAGTGTGTGTTCTGGGAGTTCAGGTTGAAGGCTATTCTGTCTTGAGGCATGGTATGAGTCAGCCTCCGAGTCTGAAACCGTTGCTGATCACAAACATCAGGGATTCACTGGCTTCCTCAACCAGCACCCTCCATCCCACCCATACAGCCATCCGTCAGCCTACTAGCCTCAGGTCTTCATATTGTATATACTAAAGATTCACAGCACTCCCACAAGAGCTGCCACGTCTCCTCGACCGTCGATATTTACACTACCTGCATCTACTGACCTCCAGCAATTCCAGTGCCATGATCCCACTTCCAGTTCCCAACTACATCAAAGCTGCCCGGGATCCAGTGATACCTGCACAGACTGTCACTGACACTGGTGGGGTTCAGTGTCCTGGGGTCTTACGCACACTTCTTCAATGGCAAAGCTTTTCCTGATCCAGTCAATTTATGTTCCTGCTCTTAGCATTGCTCGTGAGATTTAGGTTTTGATTAAGCATCGGATGGATCTCATTCAAAAATGAGAATCATCTGCAGATAAGATCCTTAGAGATAGGATGAAGTTGTGATGCTGCTACTCCCAGCACTTGAATACCTTCCCAGCGAAAGATTCAGGCAGTTCCAGCCTGGGGGATGCCCTGGAAAACCTCTAGAACAAGCTGGAGAGACTATTTGAGTACTCTGTACCCCCCTGCAGGAGCTAAAAAGAAGGGTCTATAGAAAGAGACATCTGAGTATTCCTTCTTAAAGGGATTACCTCATGATCTTTTTGCTAATAAGTGGATGTCACTTTGATTGTAGTACATAAGGGGTGAATAAAAATACCAACAGAGTTCTACATGATCTCCATTGTCTGGGTCCCACGTTTTGATAATATTGAGGACATCATTCTCAGTGGACCTCACTCCGCATTGATCTGTCCATCAGTGCCTACTATTAACAGGAGTCCACTAACTTTCCTGTTGTCCATTGGTAGAGCATTGCACTAACAACTCAAAGGTTACTGGTTCAAATCCTTGGGAAAGCAAGAACTGACAAATATTTGTTCATTCATTCAAATGTATGTCACTTTGGATAAAAGCGTTTGGCAAATGCATAAATGTAAATGTGAACTGGCTACGCCCCACTGTCTCCTGTCCACCAGTAAGCCAGTAAGTGGCATGTGTTCTGGCAATGCATGTTTGGGATTAGGAGAAATCTTAAAATGTCTGCTTTTCAGAGGGTATTAAATAAGTCCAAGGAATAAACAAGTGTTAACCTTCCTCACTGGATATGTCTGAAAAACCCTTTAACCAAACTCATTTTTGAAACTGCCTGAAAAGACCATACACTACCCAACACGACGGGACACTACATGTCTATATGCTAGCAGCAGCATAACAGTAACACCATAGAAACCACATAACAATGGCTTGGTGCACAGGTCTCTCAGTGTGTGAAGCCCGCAGTAGAAGAAAGCAGACACCACATGCAGCAAGGCTGAAGGGTTTACATTACCACAGCACAAACACTGCGAACAAACAACACAAAACCCACAAATAAGCACAGAGCAATACAAGGAATTTCATTCTGTTCCACAAATTCCCATCCAGTTACACACAGGGCTGATTTGTGGCATGTCAGACCCGGTCAGGTGAGCGTGGAAGTGAAATCAGAGCTGGCAAGGGAATAAAGGTCTTGGCAGATAATCTCATTTCCCGAGCTGCCCTCTCACACACTGACTGAGGCTTGGCTCCATTCAGGCTAAACGTGTTCGCTGTTGTCAGATCGAATCCTATTAAAAGTATGTGACGTACAAAGAATCCACCAGAACCCTCGACATGCTGTGGCTGATTCTTCACAATAAATTAGAGAATGTTGCACCTTATGAATGTTTGAACAGTAAGATAAATGATTCACATTATTTGTAAGATCTAGCTTTCTTTATTTCAGCATCCACCCAAAATAGCTTTTCCTGTCACCAAGATTAGAGTAATACTAGCACTGGACTCTTGTCACTAGCTGAATTTAACATCTCACATAGATTAATGTGGCATTATATGAGCAAAACATTTTGGTACCAGAAATCTTTGTAGTAGAGTTTAACATTAATAGTATCTTTAGCAGGATTTCCAACACAAACTAGCATTTAACAAGAGTGTTAGCGTCTTGTTAGCATATTGCTAACATCTCTCTGTAACAAGAAAACATACTAATATGAAGACGGTAGATGAGAGAACGGTGAGGGATGGGAAAGACTGTTGGGCTTTATGCATCTGCCTGTTACACCACAGCAGCTAGACTCTCTCTCTTCTAGCATGATTTAACATTCTGCCATCATACTATAGAATATTTCCAGCACCATTTGCATCAATCTGTCAAGATATTTTCGAGCTAGGAATTTCTCTACCATTTCATTCTCATTTTGTATGCAACATTTAACATGTAGCTTGTGGCTATTGTTTATTACCGTAATGCTAGCACTTTTGTTTTTGCATATTATTTACTCAACTAACACAGTTTCCCAGAACACAGTATGTGGGGTAATTAGCCCAATCCTGGCCGAGTTGATGCAGTTTTTGGCTAAAGATGGCTAGAGTTTGTACAAAAACGTTGTTATTGACTATTAAGTATTTTATAAGTATCTCAATGATAAATGATCTGGTTGCTATGGTGTAATGTTCCCTTTGTCACTATACATTATATAAACCAACCATGTCTCTATCATTTACCAAAGCTGAGAGGAGTCTGAAAATGTGGTTGCTAGGGAAAGCAGTTTGGTTGCTAATGGGATTAACATAAATAAACCTTGTTTCTCTGGTCAGTGGGACTTCCCTTGTTTTTTTTTTAATTTCCTATTAGTAAATCAAAACAGGAAATTTCTGAAATATGTAGATAGAAGAGTTTGAGCAGTTTTGAGGTATGACCTGAGTTTGAAGGCTATAACTAGCATTTTATGGTCAACCGAACACTGAACACAGACCCGAAGGCTAAGAAGAAGAACCCTAGCTAACCTGCTAAGCTAACATCGCCAAGAATACCAAGTTTAGACTTTGCACAAGTTTGACCCCTTTGGTCGGTCACGTGCTAGAGGCGTGTGATGAATTCCAAATCCAGCTCCTTTTTTCTCTTACCATATCCTGCCATGTAGGTGATACAACTCTGGCTTCTGGGTTTCCTCAACGTTCTCCAGCCCTCTGTGCACAGGATAAGAACACACCTCTGGGTTAGGCAGCCCTAGCCCTGAGTCCAAACTTTAAACTCACCATAGACATCAGATAAAAATAAAAAAAAAACCACAATAAACTGGAGCTGGACAGATTACTATTGTCAAAGATACTAACAGTATTTGTTCCTTACTAGGAGGAGTTCCCCAGGTGTTGTGTAGGTCAAAAGTTACTAACAATAGGATACAACCATCTTCCAAAAACAAGAAACACACCTACATCTCTGTAGTTAGAGATACGATTTTCAGTCCTTTCTGATAAAAATGTAAGATGATGTAACCTCTAGCATGGATAACTGTAACACTTTATTTGCAGGTTCTTCAGCTTCCTTTTTAATAAAGCAAAGCTAGCTCAGAAAGCAGTTGGTAGAGTCCTCACCAGAACAAGAAAGTATGATCATATCACCCCGATCCTGTCCGTGTTGCACTGGCATTTAAAGCCTTAAGGAGCAGCCTGCTCTCGCGATCTCTCAGATCACAGAGTGCAGGCTATTAGTCGTTCCTAAGATAGTGAAAGTCACCAGATGAGGAAGGGGTTCTCACATCTAGCACCGAACTAACACCGATATGTATAATCTATACACAATTGTAAAAACAGATACTTTTTTTGTCTGCCTCTACTACTGCACTAACTACTCTCTTTGTTTTAGTCTGTTTCCCAGGTGACTGGCGGGATTTTCCTGCTCAAGAAACTGGGATTTTGAGTATTATTAACTGTAATTCTGCTCTAACTTTTTCTCTATCTGTTTTCTAGGATTTAGCTGGTGATCCGGTCATCGGAGATCTCCATAATGAAGCAGGCCACATAGAAACGTAGAAAGCCTAGGTTCACCTCCCTTGATTCCACCTGTGAGATGACTGCTACACTAGTAGCTTGTAGCTTTAATAATATTTTAAATTAATTATATTCTTAATATTTTTATGTTTTATATTTAATTACCGTTAGTTAGTATATAATCAATTTATGCCAAACAAAATGCTTTGCCCTCATGGGATGCATCACTATAATATTAATAATGCTTTTCTCCAAATTAAAAAAATGTAAATACATATATTAGAAAAGAAAAAAAAATCACATACAAGTTGAGTTTGGAGAATTAAAATGTAGGAAAAACTATGAAACTGCAAAAAGGGTTATTCTGGGACGAAGGAAAAATGATATTTCCAAAATTTTAAAGCTTTCCTTACCTGGTTTGGCTGACATCATCACAACCTTGTTTGGAATTTCCTGTAAGAATAATGAAACCCGTTCATTCAAAGCACCATTTTAATCTACTATCAAATGATTTCTTCAAACGTAAAGCAATAAAACTGCTCCAGATGTAAGCCCACACTGCTTCACATCTAGGTGATGCTGCCCTGCGGACTCTCAAATGACCGAGTGCATAACAGCACCCAGATCGCTCCAACCGTGCCAACCGAAGATCTCCAATCACTCGGGCTGCTTTATTTATCAGCTGTATAGCATTTTCAATGAGCTCTAATAATATTTTAGAGAGGACTTACCTGCCATGGCTGGTGTCTGACATGTCCAAAGTGATTTTCAAGCTTCCTAGCTTCCCTGAGGTTAATAATTCACTAGAATTTGATAAGTTCCTGTGAGAGCTCTACAGACAGGAAGCTGAGTGCGCATGAGACCAACCCAAACACCTCTCAGTTCAAGCATGGATGCAACATAACACGCTCTGTGAGTATGGAAATCACAGATTAGCCTGAAAAACAATCGCTTGTGTTATTTTTCTCATGTGTACAAACTGGGAGCCAACTGGTGGCTTGTAAATCGTGAGCAAACCAGATTTTAGATTGTTTTTCAGGGGCCTTGTTTTAGTTCTAGTGAAATAAATTCTCGATTTTCTTTTATTCTACCAACACCTTTGTGGGATTGGATTGTGGCTGGACCCCTTCCTGTGCACGCACCATCAATGGTTTCTCAATCCCGATTGAACACCTCTGAGATTAACTAGTGCAAAGATTGAGACCCAAACCTTCTCTCCAAGATCAGTGGTTGACCTGACCTCACAATTTTGTTATTGTAAGAATGGCCAAATATTCCTGTAAAACTCTTTGCAACTTTGTGGAAACTAGAAGAGTTGAAGCTCTTATAGCTGCTGCAAAGGTTGGGTCAAGAATGGGAATTGTTACAATTGGTGGGAAGAAACCCGAAGTAGAGGTAAACAATCATTGGAAAAACCTGGAATTACTGCCAAGATTCCCTATCATTATTTCCCATCACTGATGTTGAAAATAACTGTTGAATTCCACGAGCTGAAGGCTACATCACCAATAATGAAGCCACTACATCTGGATTCCTTCCTAACGGAACCTCGCTTTCGTTCCTTAAATGTTATCCGCATGAAACAGCCTAAAACTGCAACTGGGTTGAAATTACTGCAGTGACATCCACAAACTTTTCAATTAAACCAATTTTTCCTGTGTGTTCTAGTATCCATAAAAAGATACTTGTGCTCAACGATCAAAATTACTGATCAAAGGCATCAACTGAGATGTTGTGTTTGACCAGGAACCTCAGTTTTGTCATAGGCTTCATCAAGTCCATCCCTCCCCCGTCCACATCAAAAAACCTAGCAACCATCACCGCATCCATCATTACAAAGCTTTGGGGAAATTACCTGCACTAGCAGAAGCAGCAACAGCCCACAGAGTTCCAGTGTGTTAAACTAATCGACAGTAATTTCACTGAGAGCTGTGATCGAGAGAAAGAGACAGAGCGCACAAGAGGGGGATGGGCAAGAGATTCCCATTGTAGTGCCAACCCAGTTTCTATTCAGTGCAAAAACAGTCACTAGGGCACACTTTCAA